AAAAACAATCGCGTAATCCGATAAAAAAAAATATAATATTAATTTTAAAATAAATATAATTATAAATTTTAATAATAACAATTATATGATACAATAAAAAATATAATTATTACTCGATTAATATAAAACGTAACATTTTTGTCTTAATTTACCAAGAAAAATTCAAAGAAAATATTTTATCATAAATGAGATGGTGGAATAATAATAATAATAATAATAATAATAATAATAATAATAATAATAATAATAATAATAATAATAATAATAATAATGAATTGTAACGCTTAGTATATTAGGAAATTGTCATGTAGATAAAATTTATTAGGTTTTATTTAATGATAGATAGCAATTGTATATACTAGTATTCGACAATGTGCATTTGCACAACTGTAAATAAAGTACTAATAATTATTTGTATGCATATAATATTCAAGTTAATAAGTTAAATAATGATATTATATTATAAACATAGAGTATTATAAGTGCATATAATATTAAAATTATAATTTACATAATGATATTATATATGTTCAAAATTTGCTCGTTGGTTAAAATAAATAGTACGTAACTATTCGATTGCAAAATATGTTGTAAAATATGTTGTGTATAACAATTATTTACGATTTTTAAGGAATTTTACTATAACTTTAAAATAAAATAAAAAATACAATATTGATTTAGAATAATTAGCTTGAACAAAAAGTTTTGCAATACAAGTTCTTATGTTTATATACCTTTCATATTTCATTTAGTATGAAATATAATTATTAATTTTAATAATAGCTATTATATGATACGGTAAATATATAATTATTATTCACTTAATATTGTCTAATCAACTTAAAAGAAAGGTACATGAAATAAAATATTTTACTCCACTGAGGGATTCTGCTCAAGCAAGAGCATACTGCGGTCAGAAGAAGTCATAGAAGTAGATTTATTAAGGCATTTGGAGAGCTAGAAATGCTCTCTTACCCACGGTGGACATATTTTAATATGTTCACCGCGTAGGTGGCATGCACTCATTGGTGATGTTAATATGTTTAAAAAAATACATCACCAATGAGTACATGCCACCTACGCGGTGGGCATATTAAGATGTGCCCATCGTGGATAGATGAACATTTCTCGTGGAGACTGGGTCGGATCTGCCAAGGATAAAGGGGATAATTTACTCCTCCCACTTATACTTTCTGGATCTAATAATGTATAAAGAGAGAATGATATTTACTTGAAATAGTAACAAAAAATCATCTAAAAATCATTTGTTGGTTTTCCGTCTAAAATTTCAGAAATACTACTTGTATCAATTTTTTAGTAAAAAATTGAAATACCCCACCTCTAAAAAACTGTTTGAATTTTTCAGAAATTTGAATATAAATCGTCCTAAAAATTGGGGGAATATCAGATGACATATGCCATCAGTTTGACCATATTTTTTAACTAAATAACAATCTTAAAATTTTAGAAAGAGTATCAAATATTTATGGACTCTTTGATTGAATATTTCAGAAATTTGAAATCAAATTATTTGGCAGTTGTAATTTGTTTCACCATGATTTGCTAAGGAGATATATATCTTAAAATTGGAATGTATGTTAAATATTTATGGACTCTAATGCCGATTGTCTTCCATATTGTGTGACTCATGAAAATCCATACAATTTTTAAAATTAACATAATTACATACGTTGATACCAGGAGTTATGGTAGTAATTGAGTCCAAAAATTTGTAGATATTACACCTCTTAAATTTCATCGTATTAAAATTCTTAGGAGGTCGGATACAACGATAAAAGTGAATTTCAAAATATCATTGTCTTAAATATATTCCACTGCCCACGATGGGCAGTGCCAACTAGTTTGTTTTATATAAAAAACATATTTTCAATACGTTTTTCATATAAAACAAACTAGTGGACACTGCCCACCGTGGGCAGGTAAGCGGGACTGACCATTGTCTACTTCAATTTAAATGCTGAAATAATTTGCTGGATGCAAAAGGCATAATTTGATATTTGGAATGTCTAAAAATCTTAAATAGTTACGTATGAGACCAAAAAACTTAAATAATTCCGTTTGGAATGTCTACTTACCACCAAAAAATCCTATATTAAACCAACCATCAATCTATTAATATATAATAGAGAGAGATTTAATTGAAATAACATGTAAATCTTCGCTTAAAAAATCGATTTTACTGTTACTGGATATTTTTTTTTATTTTTTTTTTTTAAATTTTCGTTTATCCCACCTCACGATGTTTTCCAATTTTTAAATTGAAGATTATTGTCAAAATCTGGAAAATCATTCCCAACAATTTCATGTCATCTAAATAAGTATATTAGTTGTTACCATATTTATCTAACTATCAAAAAAGTAAAATTTTTAAAATATCGGTCATAATACTGATCATAGAGATTTGTTATGTAGGAAAATCAAAGAAGAGTCATTTTTAAGTTCACAATATTAGTAGTTGAGATAATATCGAAATATATTTATCTAATCCTAATATAATATATACCCCTCCTATTTTTTTTAAATGTCATTCTAGCCTTTCCAACTATTTGTCAAATAAATGTCGTTTTAGATCTTTTGTACATATTTTTTCTATTATTACCCTAATTTAGCCAATAAATACATTACGTCTTTTCATATTCACTCTTCATTTTTTCTCAAAACATTCATTTCTATCTTCATTAAATAAGGTTATTATTGACAAAAAAAATATCCTTAATTAGTGTGCAACTTCTCAAAACGACATATATTAAAAATAGAAGATAGTATCAAATAACTTGAAATGCTTTTGGAATGATCATGCAATTCAAAAAATCATGGCTAACAATCACTTATACATATCAATATAATAATAATAGTGATGATGATGATGATGATGATGATGATAATCAATATAAATATCGGTAATTTGTATATTTAATGCCCATAATAGTTGTAATTATTTATTTATTTTCATGTATATTGTCAGTATTTATTTAATTGCTTAATATTTATTTATGAGATGTGCATCCATTGTTTAATAGATATATAATATTACGGAAAAAACAAGTATAGATAATTTTTATTTTAAATTTTAAATCGTAATTCATAATTGAATGTATTTTTATTTTTTAAATCCCAGCTATACACGATGAAACAATTTTTTTTTTTTCCAAAAACTCACACGGTGTCCATATTTATTTAATTACATCACCTTATTACAATTTGGAAAAAAATCTAAATTACATTTTGGAAAAAATCCAACTTTATATGGAATGTATAAATTATTTTTTAGATAAATTTTAAGAAATCGGGACTCAATTTTTTTTAATTTTTTTAAAAAACTATACGGGAACACCACTTTTTAAAATTTGGATTTTTCAATTTTTTTATTAAAAATAGTAAATCGTTAAATTTTTTATTTTGAAAAAAATAAAAATAAAACACAATATCTTGATGTAATATTTTTATCACAAAATTTAATACTGTAATATCATAAAATTCACCGATAATACTATCTAATTACTCATGTTTTTTTAGGATTAATACGTATTATTTTTGGAAAATCCCTATTACACAATCGTGTGAAATATTGTTAATATTTTCACACCTCTTACAGTTCGAAAAGAATCTAACTCCATATGAACTATTTAAATCATTTTGTCAAATAAAGTCTTGGAAAATCTCGACTACACAATAGTGTGAAATTTAGTTAACTTTTCCAAAAAATCACGTGCAACTGGTTGTCGAAATTTATCTAATTATAATACCTTTTTAAAATTTGTTTTCTTTTTCTCATTATTTTTGTTACATTAACAATCGTAAATGGTTAATTGATTTAAAATAAATTCAACACAATATTCTGAGTCAATATCTTTTATCATAAAATTCAATACTCTGATTAAAATAAATAATAATAATTATATTAGTGACACTATATGACAATATTTTTTTTTTTAAAAAAGAACAGTGAGTACTATGATGAACAACAAGAAGTAAAATTATTATTTTTTATATATCAAGAAATAAATATAGATATCAAAATATTATATATATACTAACATAAATGGTTAGGCAGCTAATATATTTTTAAAATAAAGCTTTTAAAAAAGTTTTTAAGAAAAAGTCCACCGTGCACTACACGGGATACTCACTAGTTGTTTTAGAAAGAATCAACTTATTTTTCAAAAAGAAGAATCACTTTTTGTCTAAACATTAACTGTTTATTCTAATACTCGTACAATACAAATCCGAACATGTGTTAATACGAAGCACCAATTTATGTCAAATAAGCTTAAGAAGCACACGAATCTGCAACTTAAGCTTAGCGCATTAAAAAATTATATATGGGCGATTCTGAACTCTCTCGTGTAACCTTCTATTTGGTTTGTTTATGTATAGTTGACTTTGTAATAGAGTCTGATCATCTATAAAAAAAATATATCAATTAAGAAAAATCAAGAAATTAGATAATATAATATTATATATCAACTATTTGTATTTTTCAAGTCAATCTTGTATTTGTATCCAATGTGGAGTTGATTTATAGTAAAATCGTAATTGAAATTGGCTATTAAAATTCTATTAAAGTATGTTTCTGGGATTTTATTGTTTTGCATGTAATGCGATTTTTCAGAATTAGATTTCTTATTTTACTTTTGTGTACATTTCGTATTTTATTTTATTGAATAAATAAATGACTCATATTTATATAATATATCGTAATAGTTCAGTAGCGTCGTCAATCGTCCACCCACTGCCAAAAAAACTGTATTTTCAAAATCAAAGTCAATCTCACTCGTGCAAGACGACGCCGTAGGAACATGTCCTGGTTGGCTCGTTCCATTGCCAATTCTCTCCGCCTCGACGAAATTGAAGACGTGCCCGCCGAGGAGGATAGGGCCCCACACGATACCGATAGTCGATCGTCAGGCGACGGCCATAGCAGCTGCGGCGGGGAAGACGAAATTGATGGCGGTGACAATCGGCGTGGAGTGAAGGAGGATCTGTCGGAATTGAAAGACAGCCTTGCGCGTCAATTCTGGGGTGTCGCTTCATTTCTGGCTCCTCCTCCTCCGCCTCCGCCTCCGCCGCTGTCAATTCGGAGGTCGGGTGTTGGAGATCGTGAGGGTGAGGAATTGGTGGAGCACGGCGGGGGAGAGCCTGATAAATTTGGGCCGTCGGAGGATTTTTACACAGATGTTGTAGGCTGCGCAATTGGGGTTAGTGAGGAAGTTTTAGCCTTCGCGAGGGATATTGCGCATCACCCGGAGACCTGGTTGGATTTCCCGTTTTCGGAAGAAGATGAGTTCGACGGTGAGGGTGATTTTCAGTTTCTGAATTTCGTAGATCTCTTGTCATTTTGGCTGTGAATTCATATGATTTTGGCCCTACTTGTTTGACTTTGCTGAGGACTATTTGTTTATGCTTTCTGAATTTTCACACGCATATAGATTCAGTAAACCTATGTGAAAGTGATGTATAGGTAGTGAAAAGCTTGTCTTTGTTCTACCTCGGAAAATGGGTTCCCACATTGCAGGTTAGAAGAAAAGGTTTTTTTCCTTATCATAATATAATCTTTTGGTGAGTTCTTTTCCCTGAAAAAGAGGAGTTAAGTTGGTGCATTGTGTGCTGTGAAGCGGCTCTGTAGCTGTAGTATTATATTATGGTGATTTCAGTCTACTTCTCATCTTCCCTTTTTGCTGTTCCGCTTGATCCAGATTTCGATATATCTGATGCACAGTACAAGCATGCTTTGGCGGTCGAACATCTAGCACCAAGATTAGCTGCTCTAAGAATCGAGCTATGTCCGGTTCACATGAGCGAGGGCTACTTTTGGATGGTCTATTTTGTTCTTCTGCATTCAAGGTTAAGTAAACACGATGCTAGCCTGTTGTCCTCATCGCAGGTTAGTGAGTAATTAACATCGAGAGTTCTTATTATGGATAAGCATTTTCTGTACTCATTCAGCCAGTCATACACATTATATTGTTTATATTGTATAGACTTGTCTTCTGTTTATAAATCAGTGAGCACCATGAGGTTTTTAATGCCATCACATGAACAATTATTTGGCCAGTCATACTAAAGTTGTTTTTAGACTATTTTGAAGGTTACTTGAATTTCTCGAATTAACAGAGCATGAACACTTCAAACCTATATCCAAACTGTAACATGGATTACAGTTAGAACAATTACTTACAGTTAGAACAATTAGCTTTCTTTGTGACAGAAAGTAATTTATCGTAAGAGTCTTTTCTTGCGTTTTAATGAAGTAATCACCACAACTTTACGTATTAAAACTGGAGGGGCTACATTTTTTAGTTTGAGACCAGGCTAGCAGGAAAAAGGACAGTAGTAAGTGGTTAAACCTCTTGGGGAAAGTCAACCTTATATGAACTTGAGTGTGTTAGAAACTCTATCTTTACGGGGAGTCAATTTAAAAAATGTTGGTGTGAGGTGAATCTAATATGAAAACTTAACGGGATACTGTTGCAGCGTAGGCGTACAAGAAGGGAAAATAAGACTGAATTTCAATCTGATAAATTTTATTTCATCATACTCTGCACTATCCAACCCATATGACAGATAATAAAGAAGCTACTGCGAGACTCCTTAACCTACCAAACATTGAAATAAATATCCTCAACTAATTAAGATAACTAAAAAAATAAATAGACACGTAAGAAATTATTTTAAAGCCGGTAAACGGTCGTATATGTCCACGAAGGCTAACGCGAGTTCATCCTCATCAGATACCCTTCTTAGCTGCTTGTTAATTTGTTTGTTTTTTCCCTGTATTTTCTTTTTTCAGTTCACTCCACCAAATATATGTTACTAAATTAAGGAAATAACATTATTTGTTCTTATTTGATAAATTCGACTTTTACAGCTTGTTCAAGCAAGGATTATGTGGATGCACGAATTAGAGAAAAGGTCCAAGGATTTGTCGGGGCTAGTCCTGAGTACAGAGCCTTCAGACTCGGTGCATCAAAATTACATAATGAATTCTGACCAAGATGATGCTCGACCTGAATATATCTCTGAACCAGAGAACGAGATTGAAAAAAACTTATTCGACGAAATCAAATTTGTCGACAAGTCGGTCATTAAAGAGGATTTAACACCCGAACTCCAGGAGAAGGAGATGATACTGAGTTCAGTTATTGCAGAGGGTGATGATCATGTCAATGATAAAGATGATAATGATGATGATTGGTTGAAGGATATGTCGGACTTTATCGGTTATTCGGACAAGTCAGTCAAGGGAAATGAAGAAGACATATCGTTTAGTGATCTCGAGGATGATTTAGATCACACAATACCTGTTAAATACAAAATAGTCACTTCTGAAGGGAATTCGTAAACCTAAACTTCACAAGCTTGACCTGTGTACTTGGGAGAGGATTATCGATCATTCATTCTGGACAAGGGTTTTTTTCGAGTTGAGATAATCGGGACTCGAGTGTGATTGGGTCTTTTGCAAGGGTTGTTATTACACATTTCTGGCAAATGCAGAGGGGACCGGCACTACTATATGTTTACAGGACATGAAAGATACCAAAGTTGAAGGATGTTGGTGAATCAGATTTTTACCAATTGACCAAGAAGGCAAGAAGGAACTTTTGGTTCCTTAAAGAAGTTATTAGCTTTTAAAATATTATCTTCCTGAGATCACAGCTCGGCCATTAAGGTAGAAGAAGAAAATTGAAGAGCAATTTTCATGAATTGTTGTTGATGTATTCTTGAAGAAAATGTAGATATTGACAGGAGAATATCATAAATGACTGAAATTTTATGTCCCGTGCAAGGAAATAAATAGCTCGCTAAAGTTGCCGCTATTTGAGAAATAACTTTTTTTGGCAGCGTGCCGCTATTTGTATTCATGTGCAATTTAACCGCTAAATCCCTGCTATAGCTACAGTGCCATAAACGTTTTAGCCCGCTATTTAAAACCTTGGACTCTCATGTGTTACTTACACATATTGCTACTTCTTTTGTTTTTTTTTTTTTTAAAAAAAAAGGTGTAAATCATTTTTTCAATGCTATATGTTCTTTTGAGATTTGCAACTTATAATATTTTTCGCGGTAAAATGCAATCAACTTGATGAACACCAACTTGATGAACATTAATACTTTGCATCATTGTCTATATATTGTAGGTAGGGGTGGTTAGGTGCCGGTTCTCGGCCCGTCGGGCCACGGGCCCTCCAACACATGGCCCGCGATTGGCCCGCCTATAAACCAAGAGCCGGTTCACAGTACTGGCCCGAACCGTCGATTCACTGACCCAGCAATTCACGGGCCGGTACGGCCCTTTAAAATAAAACTTTAACAAGGTGGCTAGCCCGACCAGACCCGACCCGGTGGGTCAAAAAAAATATATAAAGGAACCGGGACCGAACCGCGGCCATATTGGTCCATGTTCAACGAACCGGCCCTTAACCTTAAGAGGCCGGTTCGGTACCGGTTCACGGGTCGGGCCACGGGCCGGTTCGGGCTGTGGCCATGCCTAATTGTAGGTTGCGAATAATAAAAGCATCGTACAGTACATGTTGGAATCAATATTTAACAAAAGAAAAAAATCATAAATATTGTGGTAATTTCACAAATGAAATTTCATCACATAATAATTATACTTTTTTTTTTTTGTTATTTCAAATATTTTTATTTTCGACTTCTAAATCCAATTATGCACCGTGCTTCCAGTACATGATATGGACCCCAAGGCCCAAACTAATATTTGATTCATTATTATAATTGTTCTTCCCAAGTCAAAAGGTAAATTAATTAATTAATATACTATAAAAGAAAATATATGGCGCGCTAAAAATTTGGAACTGACATATCTCAAAACAATCCTCATAGGAAAAGGCAAAATAAAAAATCTCAAGCATATATATCATATAACTTCCATGTATATCATATATATCCTCTATATATATCCAATATATATCACAATAACAAATATTTTTTTATCTGCAACCAAATAGAAGTAACCGATAGATAACTTGATATTCAAGGCCAGAAAATAAATCGGTTTTTTATATATTCTATAGTTCCTTTTTTTTTTTACTTTTTCTTCTCTTCCATCGATCGGAATTTAACAAGTTTGATTGAAGAAGACTCTTGCTTTCTCATCAGTTCTCTTCAAACTCGAGTCGAGTAAGCGTGACGCTATTAATTTGCTCATTAAAATATTTAATTACATGTCATATGTCTTATGTTTGTTTATCATGATCAGCTTCGAAATTCCTTGTTAGTTTGATTAATCGATGCCTTTTTATGTGCTTTATCTAGATTTCTTTTTGGCTATATTAATAGAAATTAATAATCTGACTCTTCTGGCCCATGTATGTATTGGAGATCTTGCTTAATTTATTTGTTTATTTATTTGTTTGAATAAATCTTGAAAACCCTAACCGGTTTGTCTTGTTTAATTAAACCTATAGGGTTTATTTAGCAAAATCATTCATTATTGAGGCTTTGATTTTTTTATTTTTTATTTATTTTTTTTTTTTTTTNTTTTTTTTTTTTTTTTTTTGAGGAGAAAGGACTACAGAACTCATGGGATCTGAATTTTTTTCTTAAAATTTAGAATATTTGGAGCTTTTTATTTTTATTTTTTTTGTCATAGGATTCACTCTATAATTGTTTTAACATTCTAGTTCTTTCTTATGTCCAAACTTACAATATGCAGGTTGAAAAATACAGAAAAAAGGGTTACTTAATTTGTCTAATAGGATCACATGCAATTCATGCCTTGATGTTAATTAATTAGTTTATTACAGTATATGTTCTTCCATAATTGTTTACTCAAAGAAGAGAATCTTTCTTGTTTGTTTACGTAGATTGTTCCAACACACTCGGACGCGTATCAATGATTTTCGGAACGAAATTCATGAAGGTGGTTGAAAAGCTCGATTCTCTCAACTCCAAAGATGTAAGGAGGATCACTTGTTTTTCTTCTTCTTCTTTTTTCTTTGAATTAATAACATTCTACTTTTGTGATGTTTTCAATTAGAGGTTCTTGAAAAATTTCATTACTCCAAAACCGAATGATTTTCATGACAAAGCAAAAACGCGCATATATGTATATATGTATGATACCTTTAACGTTTTCGCGCATTGTGACGTGCTTTCACTATTTGTTCTTCAAAGCATAACCTTCTTTTTTCCAATTATTTAGTATTTTTAACTAAAGAAATAGTTTTTAATATCTCTGTTTATTCCCTCAGCAGAACAACGCCATGTTTGGTGTTTGCGAATCACAGCCGCCAACACTTGAAGACAAACTTAAGCAAGCTCAAGTAAAACTCAAGATATCCAACCAGAACCTTGCCTCGGCTGTGAAGGACAAAGTCACGCTCCGCAACAAAGCCAAAAAGACCCGTAAACTTCTGAATAAGACCAACGAGCAGCTCAAGCAGGCTCTTGCCGTCCAAAAAACCGACAAGGAACAGTACATGAGCGCGCTCGAAAACTTTAGACAAGAGCTCATTCCCAATCTTGTCAGAAAACACTTGGCGCCGGTAGAAGACTTCGTAAGGTCGCAACACAAAGCAGTTAAAATCGAGAACGAAAAACTAAAAGCGCAAATCGAAGATCTGAGATTGGAAAACCGTAAGGCGAGGCAAGAGATTGATGGGCTCAACATCTCGATCGAGCTAACAAGCAATGACTTTTTCGAGCGAGAGCTTCAGTTGAAGGACTCGTTGAGTAGGTTAGAGGATGAGGTGGTGTCCAAGAATTACGATATTGATTTGCTTAAGATTTTGCTCAAGAAGGCTTTGTCTAACCCGCCTCATGAGACTATATCGGATAACAATGAAGATGATGATGTTGTTGATGATTTTGATGATGAGGAAGATGAGAGTGATTATGATTTAGTTTCTGATTGGACGAGCTCCGAGCAAACAAATAGTGATGAGAATGCGCCGGTAATGTGGGAAAGCTTGGAGGTCGATAATGGCGGCGGCTCGGGTTCGGAGTTGGAGGATAATGTTGTGATGATAATGGAGAAGAAAAAGAGTAAGCCTTTCTTTGGTAAGATAGGGAGTTTGCTACTTAGGAAGTGAATTGGCTATTTATCATTTTATTTTTTCTATTTCATGTTTTCATAGGGAGGTTTATATATATATATATCTAGTTTTTGGAGGAGGATTTTGAACCATCTTAGGACACAATTTGTGTGAATATGTTATTATTTTTATTTTTTTGCATTTTCTATGAACTTTTGTTTTTATCGTTTTGAGTAGTTTGAAACCTCTAACGCTTTTCTATAAATCGTGCTCCATGTAAATCTATGATTTTTTCATATTTTTTTTATTTATTTTTTTTTTTTTTTTTTGGTACTTGTTTTTCTAGTTGATGTGGCTCTGTAATTTATCTATGTTTTGGTCAAAGTAAAAATTATATCCACATTTGTGTGACCAAATTCATCACGTGAGCTCAAGTACTGAACAAAATTATAACAATCTTTGGACATCTCATCTTAAATAAATAAAAGAATACATCCAACCAAAGTGGACTGAGATATTGATATTCATATATTAAAGTTGAAAGACTGGGTACATTGTAAGGAATAATATAAGAGTCATAATCCCCATCACATCACTTTCCCACTTTCTCTACACTTTCTCTACTACACCTTTTAGCCAGCAAAGGTTCAAAGAATCAATCTGATTACATACATAATAATGCTGCTACATTACTTTAGCTTATGATAATCTAAATTATCTAAACCTGGCAAAGTGTACGTACATATTTTCACTCAACTTTCGTGTACAGTTTCAATACATCACCATATGTTTACACAAATACAGATATGTATCTTTTTCATCTAATAATAGCAAGCAATCATTCAACACTGTTTGAAATTGATAATCCACTCTCAAAATCCACCATAATTTTGCTCAATTTCTCATTACTAATCCTCTGCTGATAGCACCTCTCATCCTCCAACCTGCACCACACACCAAATTAAACTCATCTATTCAGCTTCAATTGTTATTTTTTATATTATTATTATTATTTTTTTTTTTCGAATGTAATAACCCCTTTGAAATTTTTCTTACATGTCCGATGATGATGGTGGCAAAAGCATGGTCGCCAGCTGGACTGCATCGTCACTCGAGTTAATGATTCGGTTAAAGCAAAGGTATCGGCCATAGGAAGAAGGGTCCTCAAAAACGCAAATGTGGGCATCGACCAAGAATTTGAGGTCGACCGTGACAAATACACCGTCCTTATACATCTCGGCTGCCCCCAAAAGGTAGGGATCCTTGATGCTCAAATCAGGGCACATCAAAAGGCCTGCATTTATCGAGACCATGTTCACACCTCTGTCCATGGCAAGAGCCCAAGCTGTCTTTTCGGCTATTGTTTTCGAAAGCCCATGCCATAACTGCACAATCACACACACACACACAATACTCACATTTTATTAATTGGCTTCACAAATTTTGAGCAGCAATAAGTCTATAGGTGTTGCTTGATAGGGCCAGTTGGTGATTTCACCAAACAGGGACTTCTAACATATTCAATTTATAACTTTGTTTTAATGCTACACGACTTTTAACTCCAACTTGTTTAAATGCATAAACTAATTAGATGTCTTATCTTAGGCCTACATAAAGTGGGGTCTTTCTTTGAAGGAGATGAAATACGAAATGAAGAAAAGAATCAATTCTTGAAGTCTTCTTTTTCCCCATTTTTTCTTTTATAATTTATAGTGTTTTGGTTCAAGCATAATTCCAGTTCGCCGAATTTTATTCGGTTCTGCCATTGTATCCTAGGAAATAGACATTCATACCGGGCTAATCTGTTTTAAGGCTAATTTGTTTTAAGGATATTGTTTTTTCACAAGCCAGGTTTTTTTTTTTTTTTTTTTTTCTAAATAGCCATTTTATTATTATTCCCGATAAAGTTCCCAACATTTTTTTTTCTAGAGCTACTTTTGAATGTGAGGACACAGTTAGTTCCGTAACTCATGTAATGATGATTATCATTAAGAGGCATTAGTCATTGTTAACAAATTATTACCTTGAACTTTTTACAAAAGTTAACGTCACTCCAATTTCTCTCATCCATGTCGGGCGGGAGGCTATCGTGTTGATGGTCACGCCAGATTACAGCCGTAGCAGACGAGGTGAAAACCACCTTGTCAATGGTGTCCGTCTGTGCACACGCCTCCAGCACATTGTGTGCAGCTCTAACTTCCAATTCACCCATCCATTCCTAAATCAAATATACTATCATGTGAATTGAGATTCCCAAAAGGCAAAAAGATATCAAATAAAACAAAATGAAATAAAGAAAAATGGTAACTTGTTGCTACTTGATCACAAGATGCAATCAAGGCATTTTGTTTCATGTGTAACAAATTATCTTGAAAACATGCCACACCTCAAACTGTCGGTGGATAAAGAAAAACTTTGTAACTTTCTTGAGTGTTCAATTTTGAAAGTTCAGCAAAATTTTAAAGTCATCTTTCATGTTCACTGGTTGTTGACAGCCATTATAGCATACAATGACTTCTAGCGTCAAAGTCTTACACAATAGTCTAGTCCATGATTTATACATCTATACAATGACATTTAATAATGAAAATTAGGCATAAGCTAGCTCAGTCAAAGCAATCTGGATAACAATCTGGATAGCCCATTATAGCAAAGGCTAGTAAAAAACTCCGTACGTGATTTATTTAAGATAATAAATAAAAGCAAAAAGAATTAGGTAAAGCCAGCCGAGAAACTGTACTAAAAGCGCATTTAAGAGCTATAGCTGGACTTACTCCAAAAAAACAAACAGCTTTTAATAAATTTCACAAAGAATGCCCGCAGCAGGTTGGGGCAATATTTATGGGACGGCTTAGCTATAGGAGAATGCTACCATCCCGTTACTTGATTTGATGGTTCCGTTGAATTTTTTAAGCGTAGATCATCACACATTACCAGATTACATGTATATCTACGGCTACAAATATGCGCACTTTCAAGCATAAATTTTACTCTGAAAAATAACATAAACCGAAATATGAAATTTCTTATCTAAATATTCGTTCTCGTTAGAAGAAAAAAAATTACGGCAAATCGACTCGCAATTAATAAACTCACATCATAGGTTGGGTGATCTGAAGGTAGCTCAAAGGAGTAGAACAAAGCACAGCATCCCTTAAGTGCTTCCAAAATGCTGTGATAATCTAATGTATCACACTGAAAAACTCTCAACCTCTTGTTATCGCTAGATTGTCTCTCGTAACACGTCAACTCGTCTGAGATCAACAATATTGAATTAAATCATAAACAATTAAATCACAATTTTAAGGAACATTAAAAGAGTAAGTTACAATTAAATGTGATAACTTTTTAAAATATTTTATTTAACAAGGAGAAGAGATAGATATGTCACGGAACTAGATAGCCTGGCGGGTGAACTGAATTTGCAAACACGCGATGCTTGTGGAGATTAAATTAAACAGATCTTAAGCAGAAAAAAATGAAGCATTGTGGAGATTAAATTAAACAGATCTTAAGCAGAAAAATGAAGCACCGGAAAAAGAGGCTGTTTTCTAGGGTCAAACAGATGAAGCACAGATAAAAAAATAAAATAAAATTAGAAAATAAAGAAAGATGGTCGCCGGAATAAATTACCGTGGTTGTGCACGGCGGCGTGGACGGTGTATCCTCGCTGCAAAAGGCGGTGGACGAGTGCGGAGCCCAATCGGCCCGACGCATCCATCACGCAAACCGTCGGCGGCGAATTCCAAAAGGCAGCTGGCGCCATTTTACTTCTTCTCTCTCTATCTCTCTCCCTCTCTTTCCCTCTCTCTCTCTCTATGTGAGCTTAAACCAGAGAACGCAGAGTTTTTGAGCTATGAGTGTATGAAGGTTTCTGTTACAGGTATTTAAAGAGAGAGAGAGAGAAAGAGGTAATTTGAAAAAATAAAAATAAAAATAAATAAATAAATAAAAAATTAAAATTAATAGAGAAAGGGGGTTTTGAGGGGGCATTGAAAGAGCGTGTGGTTAGCAGATAGTTGGGAAGGTGGTAGTTAGCCAGAGCTCAGAAGAAAATAATAACAAAAACACTTATTCAAAATAAATAAATAATAAATATTTTAAAATGAAATAAAGTTAGTGTTAATTACAAAATACAAATCTACGTCTACAAATAAAGTAATATACCAATAAGGCTGACAATTATATTTTTGTTATATATTTTTAAATTTAAATGTTGTTAAATGAAACAACATAATATTTCAAGTTTCAACATAAAATTTGCGACATTTCATATTATAGATATATATTTTGTTAAAATTATTATGACGATTGACATGCGACAAAATTGTCTCATACAATATGAAACATACGTATTACCTGTAAAGTGCGTTCAACTGTGTTAGAACACAAATTGTTTGCAACTTTTAAAATTGTGTAACAACACCAGAATTTATCGAAATAGCAGAAGCACAAGACAAGACGAGAGATATAAACTTTCGCCTCTTCGGGGAGCGTCCCATTACCTCGGAGATCTTTGATTAATAAACCGATGTGCACACTTGTATAGTTTGGACTTACAAAAACTAAAACTCCCATCTAGCATGACCACAACTACACTCGATTCAACCAACTACTTTTGTGAGCACGTGAATCTCTCGAGTAAAAATCAGTACTTAATCTCTAAGCACCAAAAGACAAAGTGTTTGAATAATATATTTTTTTTTTAACTTGTTGCAAAAAAATAAATTTTTCACTATAATTTGTGGTTTTTTTATGCCTAACGACAAAACTGTCTCATACAATAATTTGTGGTTTTTTTTTTTTTTTTTTTTTTTTTTTTTTTTTGTGCTAAGTTTAGAAAAGCTAGTTTGGTTTAGCATAATGAGCCCAACTATAATAGGTTAATATTTTGATTAATTATTAAAGATTGGTGCTGATTTAAAATGGAGCATTTGAAAGGTATGTTCAAATTTAACTTCAGATGATTACACAAAAAATATATAAATTATCGTCCGTTGAACTAATAAGTCAAAATTGATTGGTTAAATTAATTTTTAATTTACGGTTCCTAACAATATGTTCAATAATTCAGTAAACTGATTATTGCGTTACCTAATAATAGAATATAC